AGCAAAAAGTGTCAATTCTTTCTCGTACGTTTTCGCATGCATGTGCGCATAGTGTGGAAGATAATAGTCTTTTTATTAGTTGAGTGACACAACCCCGGGGAAATATTTTTTTCTTAGTTGGAAGAAACCAGATGCTCACCTGAGCTTATCTAATACAAACTGTTGTGAAGTTTCATCGCAACTTCATTCTATCATAACACAACATGTTTTCTTCCTTTCTTGTGTTTTTGCTCGCTGTTGCAACTGCTCGAGTTGAGAAAAGGTTACAGAGAGACAGTCTCGAGAACTGCGTGCGTAGCAAGGGGCAGTCCAAGTTTTCGAGGTGGGCCTTTCTGTAACAAAATAAGCGGTTGTAAAACAAAGGGCCCTGCCGGATTTAAAACTTTGAAAGTATCAAAAAGCTAAATAGCATTTTCGATAGAAAATTTTACTATGTATCTAACTATATATAATTTTTGGTTGAAACTGTGATCGTTTCTCAAAAAGTAACTTTTTAAAAAGTTTGACCATTTACTGACATGAGATGAAAACCGTTTATCAACTCAGTAAGAAAGTATAGTGCAGATATTGTTTATACTAGATTTTGTAAAGTGGAAAATGCGCTATAAACTAGCGATAAAAAATTAGAAGAACATGGTTGTTGTTTGAGAAAAATATATTTTTCGCAAAAATTTGCAAAATTTGAAATTTTCATTTTTCATATGCTTCACTAAAACTTTTATAACAGGTCAAAAAACTACAGTACCACTCCCCAACTTTGTCGAAAATTGCCTGATGCTTAACTGTGTCTAACAACATAATTTGAGCCTTCGAAACCAGCTGTATTAATAAAAACACAAATTCAACATTGAAAAAGCTTCGTATACGTTATTGATCGTTTTGGTCTTAAAATTGATTTTTCTCATTTTCATTACGTCCTTTTGTAAAAATAAGATAACATTCTTGATCCTCAGGCAAAGCAAAATCGAGCGGTATATTATACGAATATAGAAAAAGCAAAAAAAATAGTCAGCCATAGACTTCCCGCTATAAAAAGTTCCGAAACTTTTAAACTCGGCTCTGTCTGTACTGGAGAAAGAACCCTGCCGGATTTAAAACTTTGAAAGTATGAAAAAGCTAAACAGCATTTTTCAAAGTTAGAGACTTTTATTGTGCATCTAACCATATATAATTTTTAGTTTGAAACTGTGATCGTTTTTGCAAACAATTTTGCAAACCAATCTAATTTTTTCTTTGAAAAGATGGAGTCAATTTTTTTTCCACCGTGCTTTGTCATCACGAAAGCTCATATTTTTTAGATCAGGAGCGCAAAAATCGAAATTCTACCGGTATTCTTAATTTTATTCATCAAAACTCATGTTTTATTTAATAAAAGTGTCATATTTTTAATCAGCGTCGCAGACTAAATCGAATGGTGTACTTTGTTAGGGTATCCGGCTACTTGGAGCTTTTCTGGAATTTTAAGTTGAAAAGTGGCTGAAATTTTTACCAAAAAAGAAAATCAACAAAACGTTTCGAAATATATAGAATTCGATTCAGTTTACGACGCTGATTTCTCATATCACCGTCTATTCGATACAAAAACATATCGACATTCATCACAATTTTTGATTAAAAACATGTACGTTCATTTTGGGCGTATTATCGTGATATCGTCTATTTCATCTCGACTAACTTAATGTCTGCCTCGATAAAATGAGTAATATCGAAAGTTTTAGTGATATAAAACATATCTCCACATAACTAGACTGTTATCGTGATAACACATTAGAAATGAACTCCTTATCGGCCATCGCGATAAAACAACTAAATAAACTACGGATTATCTAGTTTTAAATTTTATAGATTAGCTTCGAATATGAAATTTGTTATCTCTCTTCATTTTGGTAGTGAACTCATTTATGTTTACTTTATTCAAATGAAAAGATTGCACATACATATGTTCTATGTGCATGAAATAAGTGGATAGGTTAAACAAGAATTTTGGACGAGAAAAAGATATCGCAAGTAGAATAAACGGCAATAAAAGACTATTTTATGTAACGTACAGCTCTTATACTGACACATCGATTAGATTCTCTTAACTGTAAGTATGACACAGACAGTTCTTTGCAATAAATGAATAAACGCATGGGTTATGTATGCCGTAGAATTCGAGATGTTCAGAGTCCATAGCAAATAAATATTTTTCTTTTTTTCTCATGCAGATATTTGATAACTATTAAGTAAGTGTATGACTTTGGTTCAATGTATTTATTGTTTATAACCCAGTCACACTTAAGGATGTGCAGTAACCGGTAATTTACCATCGGTAACGGTAAAAGCCTTTTTATCAAGGTAACGATAAGATGAGTTAACCGAAAACTAGTAGATCAACACGATCAGCTTGAGCCGTAAAGGGCAGCTCCACCCCTCTCCTCCTACTTTTTGCTCCGCTTGAAAACCGGAAGCCGGTGTTAGATAGAGGTGGAATTTATACCAGGGATAGAAAACCGATGTATTTTTCTATGGGTTTTCTTGACCAGTTTTCATTCAGACACATTACGACTCCTCGAAACAATGATCCGATCAAGGTGAAAATTTTACCATAGATATTTCAGACTCTATCTCTATTCTCTCTATCTCTGTTAGTTTTTTTTTCTTTTGAAAAAATATACTTGACTTTTCAAGATATCCAAAAAATGCTTTTTTTTCGATGGATCGTAATGTGATTGGATGTAAAAACTCGAATTTTCTAGAAAACCCATAGGAGAACCTGTCAAAAAATTCTGAGCAAAAATAAACTGATTTTCTTTTTCGATGTTCTATCTCTAGTATAAATTTCACCCCGATCATGCACCACTTACAGTTAACTGCAAAATTGTAACTGCTCATAAATGCAGGTAAATATTCTAGAGTGATTAGTCTTGTACGATCTGCATACATTTTAAAAATGTCTCTATTCTTAAAATGTATGCAAATCTCACTCTAGAATATTTATGTACAGTTATCAGCAGTTACAGTTTAACAAGTAGTTACAAGCAGTTTTACAACTTTGTTTTTATTTCTTTATTCCCTTTTAATTTTGATCGTGTGGTGAATCACCGCCAGTGATATGAATTACCTCTAAACTACCTCTAAAAATGAATGTTAACTGTTTTTTTACTGAAACAAAAAATCGGTAACGATAGAAGATTTTTTGCCGTACGAAATTTACCTCGGTAACGGTAAGATGAATTTACCCAAAAACGAGATTACCGCGGTAACAGATTAACCAGTTACCGCACATCCTTAGTCACACTAACAACAAATCTTAAGGTTCGATTCACACGGCTTTGCGAAGAAATGGACGATAGTACAACACTTTCAGAGTAGAATGACCCGATGATAGTGAATATATTGCTATTTCGCTGAAAATACTTGATGAACGTGTAATTGATCGAATTGTTAGTATTTTTCCACTCTGGGAGTGTTGGACTATCGTCCATTTCTCCGTAGAGCCGTATGAATCAAACGCTAAGATTTGTTCTTTATGTGACTGACTTGTAAGCAAAACATTGAACTTGAGTATATACGCGCTGATTGTCTATTAGACAATTGTAACGGACAACGAAAATTTTTCTTATTTAAGAGTTACCTGCTAGAAATCTATCTTCATAACTGCAAGCCCAATTCGGGGCACAATTGCAGCGAATACTGATCATTTCAAAAACTTTTTTCGTAGTACCTGACTCCGGTTTGCGAGATACCACTACGATAAGAGCGAAAAAGAGACGTTAAATGTTGTGATGATATCTCTCAAATGTGGGGAGTAGAGAGGAGAACCATTTGATAAATCGATTTTTTGATATTTTGTCTAGACGTTTTTCTTAGTTAAAAATCCTTGTCATGAAAAGATTGATTAATGAAAACAATTGTAATCAACAGCTCCGGATATGGCGCCTGTTTTTTTTGCTTGATCACAGCACTGGTAATCAAAATGAGAAATCTGGCTTTGTTAGACTATCATCACAATCTTTAGCTTCGATTTAAGACCAATTCGAGCTTTCTATCATTTAATCTGATTGAAGAAATCTTTGTCGTCCATTTTTCACAACGATTTTTTTCACTTTATTCTCGGAACACGAAAAATTATTTATTTAGGTACAATAGATTTGATACTTCTACTTTCCTGATAAAAGAATAGAAAACTAGTAGATCAACACGATCAGCTTGAGCTGTAAAGGGCAACTCCCCCCCCCTCCTCCTACTTTTTGCCCCGCTTAAAAACCGGAAGCCGGTGTTTGATCGAGGTGAAATTTATACCAGGGATAGAAAATCGATGTATTTTTGCCCAGAATTTTCTGACAAGTTCTTCTATGGGTTTTCTTGACCAGTTTTCATTCAGACACATTACGACTCCTCGGAACAATGATCCGATCAAGGTGAAAATTTTACCATAGATATTTCAGACTCTATCTCAGGTTAGTTTTTTTTTCTTTTGAAAAAATATACTTGACTTTTCAAGATATCCAAAAAATGCTTTTTTTTCGATGGATCGTAATGTGATTGGATGTAAAAACTCGAATTTTCTAGAAAACCCATAGGAGAACCTGTCAAAAAATTCTGAGCAAAAATAAACTGATTTTCTTTTTCGATGTTCTATCTCTAGTATAAATTTCACCCCGATCATGCACCACTTACAGTTAACTGCAAAATTGTAACTGCTCATAAATGCAGGTAAATATTCTAGAGTGATTAGTCTTGTACGATCTGCATACATTTTAAAAATGTCTCTATTCTTAAAATGTATGCAAATCTCACTCTAGAATATTTATGTACAGTTATCAGCAGTTACAGTTTTACAAGTACAGTTAACTGGTAAAAAAACTGCAACTGGTGCACACCTATCCCAATCAAACATCGGCTTTTCCGGTTTTCAAGAGAGTCAAAAAAGAGGGAGAGAGGTACCCTTAAATGGCTCTAATTATCCAAGTTTTATTCACAGTTCTTAACAGAACATATTATTTTAGAACACCAATATGTCCACTATTGACTCTGATGTTCTTATTGTTGGTGCTGGTCCAACCGGTTTGATGCTCGGTTGTCAATTAGCCATACATGGCATTAATTTTCGAATTGTTGAAAAAAATATAGAACCAAGTGTACAATCGCGAGCACTCGTTATTCACTCTCGCACTTTGGAAATATTTGATCAAATGAAAATAGTAGACAAATTTTTTGAGCAAGGTATCACATTAAATGGGTTTAATATGATTTTTAATGGTAAATATTATGGTAAACTTGATTATACTCTATTTCAAAAAGATGATTTAACAAAATTTCCTTATCTTCTTGTCATTGAACAATATCGAACAGAACAAATATTAGAAAATTATTTAAAAGAAAAATATCATCATATCGTTGAAAGATCCACGGAATTGATAAATTTTACTCAAAACAACGATAATAGTGTTTGTGTTACATTAAAGAGGTCTCTGGATGAATTCGTAAATATTCAAACAAAATATATTTGTGCATGTGATGGTGCTCATAGTACGGTGAGAAAAAAATTGAATGTCGCTTTTCCAGGTACAACATATTTGGAACCATTTTTTCTTATCGATTGTGAGATAAATTTTAATGATGATGAAAATAAATTTCCACGTCAAGAATCGACTTTTGTCTTCTCATCAAATGGATTAATTGCATTTTTTCCCTTAATCAATAATCGTTGGCGTATAATTGGTACAATGCCAGAAGAACTTCGTGATGGAAAATCTATTGTTACATTTGAGAAGATTGAAAAAGATTTTTCAAAACGATCAAATATTAATGTTGAATTATTCAATAATCATTGGATATCCACATATAATTGTCATCATCGATATGCTCTAGAATTTCGTCTTAGAAAATGTTATTTTCTATTAGGTGATGCTGCACAGTAAGTGATTGTATCAATGTAGTTCACAATTCTGTAATAGAAATTTTTTGTTTTTTAATTGATTATTGCGTTTTGACCTCTTCGAGCTGTTGAGCCTGTCTGAGAGCATGCATATTAGCCATTATTTGCTTTCATTTCTTTCTTTACTTCGCAATCGTTTCAAGCTTCTTTAGATCTTCGACTGACTTGAGTTGTTGTGGTAATTCGAGTTGAGTCGGTAAGCTATTCTTCGACGAGTTTTAGATCTTGATCTATAAGAATGGGCAGTGTTGTTCTTGGTCAGCCTCTGAAGCCACTTGATGTGTTGTTGTTGAAATATTGAAGTATCGAGAATTTTGCTGGTGTTTTGTTCGACATTGTTAGGCGCGTCTCGCGTATTTTTAGTTCGAGTTCACTTGTATTGCATCGTTTATACAAGGCTTTCTTTGATATTATATTCGGCTAGTACACTCCAATGACTGAATGGGGTTGTTTTCGATGGAACGTTTTGAGCTCGTTGACTTCTGCTTTTGTTAGCGCCCAAGTACACACGTTGTATGTAAGAAACGGTATGGTGTAGGCATTGTAGAGTTTAATTCGTTTTCTCTCACTTATTTTGTTGTTTTTTTCTCCGCCACACACTGCACATGTTTTTTAGCACTACAGTTATAGTTGTTTTCTTCTGCGCATTTCCTCCCCGTCTCCAAGTATTGTGCCAAGCTTTTTTACCTTCCGCCACTTCTCTTCTGTTGTACTCTTTCTTTTGAGTAGGGTTACCTCGGTTTTATCGATGTTTTTATGCTTTTAGTTTATCTTGTGGTTTTGACTTTTGTTTTCTACTATTGTAGTATTCACAGTCCTTTCGGTGGTCAAGGTATGAATACTGGTCTTCAAGATGCATTTAATCTTGGCTGGAAATTAGCACTTGTATTGAAAAAACGAGTCATAAATGATGATCAATTACTCGATACATACAATGAAGAACGTCAACGTGTAGCACAAAATCTCGTACATACAACAGATCGTGCTTTTCGTGGTTTAACTAGTAATAATAATTATATAAAATTTATACGTTTACATATACTGCCAATAATATTCCAATGTATTTTATTTCCTCTTATTAATCATGTTCGATTTATTCGTCACTATTTTTTTAAAAAATTATCACAAATTGGTATTCATTATCGTCGAAGTTCTCTTTCATTACCGTACGATATGTTTAATAATTGTCAATTAAAATGTGGTGATCGTTTACCATCTTGTGTTATTGAACATTTTCATGATATGCAATATTTTCATTTATTAATATTCGAATCGGTAAATGAAAATCATCAAGAAAAATTATTTTGCTCTCATATTACACGGTATTATAAAGATATAATTAAAATGAGTTTATTCGATCCATTAAAAGTCTATGTCTATGAACTATTCGGTATTGATACTCTGAATGGTGGATGGTATTTAATAAGACCCGATATGTACATCGCTTGTCGTGCAACAACATTTAATATTGATCATTTTGAAAATGATATAAAACAATTATTTTCAATATCAAGAAAAATGGATTCTAAATAAAACTTTGATAACATAATTAATCTTTTTTCTAGTACTAGAATATGTCAATGGATTTGTATAAAGTTTAGTTTGTTGTAATGTTAATTAATATATAATATTCAAAATTTTATGATAAATAAATAATTAATGAGTTGTTACATTGTTCATGAATTAATCGTAACGGTTTGTTAAATTAAACAGTTCAAGGTGATCGTCTGTTTCATTGATAGAAAAGGAACGAAGTATTCTACAAGAAACTTGTCGACTTCCGCGGTCGAACGCTCGTATCTAAGAATCATCTTTAACAAAAATGACAAATAAAAAGTAATTTTCTTTCATAGGAACATATTTAAAAAACTTCAAATTATTTTTTCAGTGCATTATCAAAAAGAATTACTGTTCAATTTCTGCGAGACATTTCGTCAACAATACAGCGTTTAACAGGAATCACCGACTGTTCCGCGAATCGTTAATAGTGTATTCTTCTGGCTTTTTCTGTATTTTTTCTTATCTTCTTATCTCTAATAAAAACTGGATCGAAATTATTAGGTGTACACAGCTGACTCGCTGCTATCTTGATTGTATCTCTTATATAACTACAGTAACTTCTTAAGTGACACGACTCTTCCGCGAATTTTTGTAAATAGATGCTAAGAAAACTAACAAAAAAAAACCGGTTTCACTGGACATAGTCGTTAAAAAATTTTTAAAAGAGCTTCAGCTTAAAATCCTGACATAATACATACACGGTAAAAAACAAGCGCCCACTAGAAAAACGTGCACGAAAAGTATACTAAAAAAAGCATCGATAAAAATGAGTCCATAAAAATTCGTCCAAGCATAGTATTTAAGTGCATACTGCACAAATGAGTCATTTCACTGCACTAGCTTATCTCAGAAACGACTGATTTCCTGCGGTAGTGGATCTTTCCAGCAGATCAGGCGTACTTCCAAAGTATAGTGCGTTCAAAACTGAGTAAAATATTATTTGGAAATCTTTTCATCTAACAAAAAAACATATGAAAAACTTTTTTCAGAAACAAAAACGTCTAGCAAAGAAGCATACCAAGATGTGATGAAAAAACCCCCAACTAAAAAGCGTCAACTATTGGACACTTTTTTTTACTGTGTAAGTACCTGAAAAACTGAAATATGAAATTCTTGTCCAATTGTTCTATCCTTTTCTGAATATTATTCGATATTTCACATTAGCATTACGTAAAACCGTTACCAATTTTCTACAGAATATGAATGGCTCATTTCCTAAATAACTAAATACCAAGTTTATTGTGTCATTATCATCTTGTTTCACTGTATGTTGCATGGTGAGACTGCTCGTTTTTCTTATTATTAATTTCTAGTCTATGTTTTTCCTTATGGATGGCGTGTTTTACTGCGCTTTCTACGCTTTCTTTTGGGTATCTATTGTTTATCAGTACTGTTGTCAGATACTTTAGCTCGATATCCAGATGCCTAGGAGTTGAGGAAATCCTTATGGATCGAATTACTAAAGCAGTAATCAATCAAACTTTTTGATATCGTGGTAAACATGCATCCCAATTTAGGTAGAGATTTGTGTTAGTTTTCTTTCGATACACAGTAGTAAAAATTTAATCTTCATTTTTCA